CCCGCCCCCCCTTCCCGCCCGCGGCCCCGGCGTGCGGCGGGCAGGCGATACCAAGTGTGGGGAAGGGAGGGGTTCTCCGCGAGCGGGACGCCCACTCCGCGCTGTGTCGGCGCACCCCGCCCCGCGGCCACCCCTCCGGTGACTGCGCTGTGAGGGGCGACCTCGGCGCGGGGGCGGGGCCGGCCTTGCGGCGCTGGGCCTTTGAGTGGAAGGCGGGAAATGGCGGAGGCTTCAGGCCGCGGCGCGGGGTGAGTGGAGGCCCCGCGTCCCGGGTTTGTGGAGACCACAGGGGTGGCCGTGGCGATGGCTGCGGCTCGCCAACGGAAAGTCGAGGAGTCGGTTCCTTGGGGCGAGTGGGGCACCCGACCCCTCTGGGAACCGTGCGCGTTTGGCCCCCCGCTCCCTGCGGCGTCTGCGCATGCCCGGAACTGGCGCTGCCGACCCGGCCCGGAGTTCGAGTCCCGCGCGCTGCGCTCCGGTGCTCGTAACGCGGAGCGAGGGAGTCGGCCTCGGAGGCGCCGGCGGAGGGCTTAGCGTGCCCTCTCCCTCCCGCTGCACGTTCCGCGGCCCGCGTTTCGGAGGGCTCTGGGGTGCGCGGAGGGAGACGCCTCCCCGAGGCGGGGAAGCAGTGGGGCGCTTCCTGCGCGCTCGGGGCTGTGCGGGCGTCGCCAGCCTCTCGGGCCCGGCCGCACCGATGGTCGTTCCCCGACAACGCGGGGGACAGCCTGCGTGCGAAGCGAGGGCTCCCTCAAGCCTGCGCGGAAGGAGATGCGGGAGCGCGGATGCCTCGATCCCGTCTCCCGTGCGCGGGAGGGCCCGGGGCGGGGAGGCGACCGCCAGACAGCGGGGAGTCCCGGCCGCACGCCAGCCTGCAGCCTCCCTGCCCACCGTGAGCGGCTTCGCCCGCGGGTGCTGCTTTTCTGCGCCTTCAGCCGAGAGAGGCGTAGTGGGTAGAGGTTTCCCCCTCAGCCTCAGGAAGTTGGGGAGGCAGTGGATCTCTCCCTGAAAGACGCTCGTTTGTAAAGATCCCGAGTTCAAGGCCATCCTGGACTACAGAGCAAGACCTTGTGTTAAAAGACTATTGGCGGGAACCGGGGATATAGCTCAGCGGCATACGCGCTTGCCTGGCAAGCCAGAGGTCATGAGTTCGATTCCCAGTACAAAAAAAAAAAAAAAAAAGACTGTTGGCAGCAAGCTGGGCGTGGTGGCACACGTCTGTATCCCAGCGCTCTGGAGGCTGAGGCAGGAGGATCCTTTTGAGTTCGAGACCAACGTGGGCTACAAAATGAGCTTAAGGTCAGCCTGAGCTGCATATCGAGGCCCTGTCTCAAAAAGACAAAAAAAAAAAAACAAAAACAAAAACTATGGGCATCAGACCCTATAAATAAACATGGACAGACCGGATGCAGTCACAGCTCCTGTCATGACAAAATAGACGTTTTTCTAAAACTGACTTATTAAAGTACTGAATGAGTCGCTCTTACACAAAGCGTTGCTTTTAGGGTATGCCAGGAAGTCTTCAAATAGTGAGCAAATAGGGCTTTTGTTCATCTTAAAACTTTCTGTTTAGAGCTTAGCCTGACTGACTGACCTGTGCGTGGACAGAGGGCGTCATTTTCACTTGTTGTCACTCTGAAATGGTTTCAGACTTGGGGAGCAGGTAACTCAACTGCACATCACACAGTTGGTCTGTGAGACACTCAGGAGAACCAAGGACATCATCTTGCCTAGATTTCAGTAAACCAAAGAGTACCTGGATTTGCATGTAGCAGATATTTTTAGGTTTTTATTTGTTTTGTTTTTCTGAAGACAGGGTCTTGCTGTGTAGCCTAGGCTGTCCCTGAATTCTGGGCAGCCTCCTGCCTCAGCCTCTGGATACTGGCCTGGAGGTTTTTAGTGTTTCACTTATAAACAGCGCAGTGAGGGCCTGAGGCCTGTCCCTGCCTCAGCCTTCCTCCGGCCCCCAGCCCCAGCCAAAACCCTGGCCTCAGCCTGGGCCTGTCTCCAGGGCCTTTCCTGTTACATCAGGCTCCGAGCAGTCTGTTTTTAAATTTTTAGAAACTGAGCAGCAGGACCAGGGTTGCTCTCCAGTTACCCACCAGCGCATAGCTTGTTAAAGCCCAGCCTGCATTCTGGTTCCAGAGTCTTCACTGTGTGGGGAGGCAGTGCCCGTCCACTTCTGATTCTTCAGGTTTCCTTTTGCAGGCAGTTGGGTTGTATACCTGGATCACCTCCTGGGTGCTTTTGTGTCCAGTTTCTTTCTTTTTTTTTTTGGAGATAGGTTGACCTTGAATTAGCTGCAGTCCTCCCGCCTCAGCCTCCTGAGTGGTGGGATTGCAGGCATGCACCACCATAGCTGGCGTTCCCCTCTCTTTTCCTCCTTTCTTCGGCTGTGCTGGGGATGTGACCAGGTCCCTCTGCATGCCACCGGGCACTGTGGGGTCTGAGCTGCACCCTAGGCCCCTCTTCCCCTGCCAGTAGCCCCTCCGTCGTGACCCCTGGAGTCTCAGATCTGAGGGGAGGTGCCGTCTGTCGCTGTGTCTGTGCCCACGCAGAGGACACCTGCATCACCACACTGGCCCTGAGCCCAGCCTCCTGGACAGTGGCAGCAAAGCCACCAGCCCGTAGGTCCTTGACCCGCAGGCCAGGTGCGGGAGGGCAGCCGAGGACGGGCCCTGTCCCAGCGGGGCCCTCAGCGTCTTTCTGCCCATGAGCAGCTGAGGAGCAGAGGAGGTGCAGCGCACCCTGAACCTGGCACTCGCTCTGTGGAAGTTCGTGCCTCCAGAGCCATCTGAGCTCTTGCTCAGCCCTGGGGTCTGGCTGTGCCAGGGCCATGGCACAGGGCCGTCGCTCTTCTGGGGAGGTGGCCTGGCCACGGAGGCTGTCTCGGACCCGTTTCCCCAGGACTGAACTGTTGCGCTCACACTGACGTCTCCGTCGTGTGCAGGATGAAGGAGATCTCTCTGCTCTCTTCCAGGAAGCCCTCTGCATCCGGGCCTGGTACCCCCGGCGGCTCCAGGGCCAGAGGGAAAAGGGCACAAGGTGAGCACATGGGCCCCCTGCCAAGAAACGGTGCCGGTGGGCAGGCTGGCACGGGCCTGTCATCCCTGTGCTCTGGGAGGCTGAGGCAGGAGGATCACAAGTGGGAGCCCAGCCCGAGACACTTAGAAACACAGACCATGTCTCAAAACTAAATTTTTAAAGAGGGCTGGGGATATGGCTTAGTGCGAAGGCCCTGGGTTCAACGACCGGTACCACCAAAAAAATGTTTCCCTCTCTCATCAAGCGTTCTCTGTTGGTTTGGTTTCCGAGACAGGTGGGAGAGTAGTGGAGTCCCGCTACCTGCAGTACGAGCGGAAGGCAGCCAGAAAGGTGAGAAGGCTTCCCTGTGTGGGGCGGGGCGGGGCGGCTTGGCCGGCGGCGCGGGGGTGGGTCCTGCCCGGGCCTTGAGGCCGAGGCCCCCTGTGCAGAACCAGAGTGGCTGCTGGCGGGGATCGCTGAAGAACGTCCTCCTGGCAGCTGTCAGGGGCCCTGTTGGGAGGCTGCGGTGCTCTCTGGAACGCTGCACGGAGCCAGCCGGCCCCTCCCGCCTTCCAGTCACCGCCAGCACAGGCGCCCCTGTGTCCCGTGACTGTCCCCGCGGACAGAACTGCTTGTTCTGTGCACGCGGACGCCGTGACGCCCTCGGGCCCGCCGTCGCCGTGAAGGACGAGCCGCCAGAATGGCCAGGCCCCGCAGGGGAGCTCCTCCCTGAGTGTTGCGTGTCCGTGACAGGCTCCTGCCGCGGACGCTGCTGTCAGAGCTGGCGGGAAGGTGGCGGAGGGCGTGAGGAGAGCCAGCCAGCTGCCCAAGGGCTCAGGTGCGTGAGGTCCTGGAACTGCAGCCTCGCCCTGCCTCCTGCCCAGGGCACGGGCTCAGGTCCAGGCCCCTTGGTGACCCGCAGTCCCCGAGCCAACGTGCTAGCAGGCCTCGCCTCACGGTGGGGATGCAGGTGCCCCAGCCCAGGAAGGACTGCCCACTCCAGCATGTGTGCACCCGGGCGGGGGACCCAGGCTCAGCAGCGCCCTGGCCCGCGCCAACTTGGGTTCTTCTCTGGATGCAGATGGCAGTGGTGTGGGCCAGGGCGACCTGCAGTCCACCTTGCTGGAGGGGCACGGCACTGCACCGCCCGACCTGGACCTCTCAGCCATCAACGGTAAGCGCCTGCGCCTCCCGCCGGCCCCGCCGTGGGGTGGTGAGGGTGCAGGTTCCTGACTTGGTGATGGTCCACAGAGACAAGCACTGTGGAAAGTGCATGGCCCTGGGGTCAGCGCTGCCCCGGCTGTCCACTCTGCTCTGGCATTGCGGGGCAGCAGCAACAAGGGCCGCTCCCAAGCAGCCCCGTGGACACAAGAGGAGCTGCTGTGCTCCACCGGGTGCTGAGCTGCTGCTGCTTTGGCAGAGGCGGCGCGTCACGTTTTCCAGCCCCCAGTGCAGGTGGCGGTTGCGGGGCCGAGAGCCCACAACGTGCACGCTTCACCCTTCGTTGTAGACAAAAGCATGGTCAGGAAGACACCTCAGTTAGAGAAGACGCTGTCACGGAAGCCTAAGGCGACATCCTTCACGGCCCCGCCGAGGAAGAGCCCGGTGAGTGTGCAGCAGGAGGACGCTGGGCCGCGCCGGCCCGATCCCTGCGGAGGTCCGGTCCCGTGTCTCGGTGCGCGGAGGTAGACGCCAGGTCGGGCACCCTAGCTTCACAAGGCCTGGGTGCAGTACGTTAGGTTAGGATCCAGGCATGGAGGTGCACACCTGTCCTGCCTGCACTCTGGGAGGCTGAGGCAGGAAGATTGAAAATTTGAGCCCAGCTGTAGGCAGTTAGTGACTCAGCAAGACCCTGTCTCAAAATACAAAACTTTCCAGAGGGCTGGGGTACAGCTGAGCAATCCTCCCGCCTCAGCCGTCCGCGTGCTGCTTCTCCTTACTCGCAGGACTCCCTGGAGGTGGTGGAGGTGGTGGTGTCCCAGACGTTACTGCTGACCCTGCTGACGGTGCAGGTGTGGACACGGCTGCGGCCTGGGCATGGGAGGGAGGGGCCTCAGTGTCTGTGGCTGAGCTCCGCTTTGCCCTACAGATGGAGAACGGGCTGGCACGGCTGGAGGAGAAGGCGGAACGGAGCCTGCTCGCCATGTGCCGGGAGCAGGCCCGGCTGCAGCAGAAGGCCCACGAGCTGAGGCGCGAGCTGCTGCTCCGGCAGAGGCGCCGGGAGCTGGGAGGCATACTGGACGCCCAGGTGGGCGTGCGTGGTGGGCGCAGCCCTGCCTGTGCAGTGCTGAAGGGCACCTGGCCCGAGCTGGGAGGCCTGGGTGCGGACTTCATCTGAGACAGGGTCTTTCTTGGTGCCCAGGCTGGGCTTGATCTTGCGATTGTCCTGCCTCTGCCTACAGAGTGCTGGGGTGAGAGACGTGGCCACCGTACCCGCTTCACCTTCCCCTTTGTGTCGGGACCGGGACCGCAGCCTCGGCCTCGCCTTGAGGGGGTGGCACATCCCGCGACACCGGCGGGGTGTCGGTGTGAACTGGTGGGGGTGCAGCTGCATCCAGAGCGCCCAGCACATGCCCTCGGGTGCCTGGCGGTCAGGCAGCTCCCCGTCTCTGTCCCTGGAGCACAGGTGTCCCCACAGACCCCCGCCGACCTGGGCAGGGGCCGCCCTGACGACGGCCTTGGGGCGATGTCCAGGCCTGAGCTGTGTGGGGGACCGGCCTTCCCGGCTCGCCACCCGCCAGCACAGTGCGCTCTGGCCGTGCGCTGCCTGCAGGGGCTTGGAGGGGCAGGCCGGCGCGCATCCCTCCGTGTGTGCGCTTAGTTCCAGACCGAAGCAAGGCCAGCCCTGCCAGTGAGCTGCACCCGGCCCTGCGGCCCCCTAACCCCACACACGGCGTGGGGCTCAGCGGCAAGCCTGGTCTCACAGGGTCCCTCCCCACAGGTGGAGACACTGCGCCCCTTTGAGGCGGTGGCTGGGCGCTTCCAGGAGCGGTACAGGACGCTGGCCACAGCCCTGGACACCACCCGGCACGAGCTGCCCGTGAGCGCCATCCACCTGGAACGCGACGGCCGGCAGCTGCTCGGTAGGGTGAAGGCCGCTCACATGCCCTGGAGCCCGGGCGGGCGGGTGGGCAAGACCGCAGGAATGAGATGGCAGCCAGGCGTGGGGCGGGCGGGTGTCCTGGCCTGCTGCAGGCGCTAGGCCCCTGAGCCTGATACCCGTCCTCCCCAGACAGCCTGCAAGCCGAGCTGACAACCACCCAGCGCCTTCTGGCTGAGCTGGGCCTGGGCGACAGCGAGGAGCATGGGCAGGTGCTGGCCCTGTTGGCCGAGCTCAGGGACGTGACCACGCAGAAGGACCACGAGCTCCGGAGGTGGCCGTGACACTGGGACGGGGGTGGCTCCGCTCCCAGGGCAGAGGGGCAGCCAGCAGGGGTCACTGTCACATGGTAGCCCAGAGAGTGCATGGTCCCAAGCACCTGCTGGTTGCTGCCCTTT